AAAACGGGACGGGGGCGATGGAACACTAGTACTTACGCAATCCGAGAGATTTTCCTCTTGATCCCCACATGTCGGAAGCGACGCGCCGTTCAAGTGAGCGGATACATGTAACGCTCCCTTCGAGGTGAGGTAGATATGTTGGGTGGGGATGCGGGAGTTGGCCGGGCCTACTGTGGCGTTCGAGCAGACTTATGCTATGGGAGGACATTCGGGAGATGGCCAGGCCCGCGGTGGCGCTCGAGCAACCACATGTTATGGGAGAAGTGAAGGGAGGTGGCCGGGCCCGCTGTGGCGCTCGAGCTTCCGACTTGGGCACTTCCCTTGTGTGTCCTCGCCCTGGTCTGCAGATCCACAGCTCCGTGGATAGCTTGATGCTTGACTTGCGGTGCTCCGCGGATCCCATGTCCCCTGGGTCCCGGGTGTGAAATTAGTATTATAGATTTATTCCCGGGACATGAATGGATCCCTCGGTTTTTCACACACATACACACAGGAAAGTGGATCCGCGCAACACAGAAACAGGATCCACGAAGCCCTCCAACACCCGACAAGGGACCCAATTGGATCCATTGATGCTATCATATTTTAGTCCAAGAGGAGAAAACTGTCGGCCTGGGGATGTAGTTGTAGTGATATGAATGGAAAGCCAACGCTCGAAATACTATTACTGTCAGCGTGATAACTTGTAGTAGTAGTAGTAGTAGTACTAGTAGTAGTAGTAGTAGTAGTAGTAGTAGTAGTAGTAGTAGTAGTAGTAGTAGTAGTAGTAGTGGTAGTAGTAGCAGTAGTAGGAGTAGTAGTAGTAGTCGTAGTAGTCGTAGTAGTAGTAGTAGAAGTGGTGGTAGTAAGAATAGTAGTGGTGGTCGTAGTAGTATTTGTAATAGTAATAGTCGTAGTAGTAGTAGTAGTAGTAGTAGTAGTAGTAGTAGTAGTAGTAGTAAGGTAATCCAATAGTGGTGGTGGTAGTAGCAGTAGTAACAGAAGCAATAATAACAGTTGTGATAGTAGTAGAAGTAGTAGTAGTAGTAGCAGTAGTAGTAGTAGTAGTAATAGTAGTAGAAGTCGTAGTAGTAGTACTAGTAGTCGTAGTAGTCGTAGTAGTAGTAGTAGTAGGGGTAGTAGTAGTACTAGTAGTAGTAGCAGCAAACGTAAAAAGTAGTAGTGGTAGCGGTCGAGTCTTAATGGTAGTACTAGCAATAGTAGTAGGAGTAATGGTAGTCGTAGTAGTAGTCGTAGTCGTAGTCATAATGGTAGTAGTGGACGCTGTATTACTCGTAGTACTGATATTAACCGTAGTAGTATTAGTAGTAGTAGTAGTAGTAGTAGTAGTAGTAGTAGTGATAGTAGTACTTGTAGTCGTGGTAACAATCGTAACCGTAATCGCGATAGTAGTCGTAATGATAGTAATATTAAAAATAGTTGTAGTAGTACGTGTACTCGGGGTAGTACGGCTGTGGGGCGTAGTACTACTAGCAGTAGTAGTAGTTGTAGTCGTCGTCGCAGTAGTAGTAGTAGAAGAAGAAGTAGAGGTAATGGTAGCAGTCGTAGTTGTAGCCGTGGTAGTAGCATTGGTAGTTGTAATGGTAGTCAATAGTAGTAGTAGCAGCAGCAGCAGTAGTAGTAGTAGTAGTATTAACAGCAGTAGTAGTAGTAATAGTAGTAGTAGTAGTAGTAGTATTCGCAGTAGTAGTAGTAGTAGTAGTAGTAGTAGTAGTAGTAGTAGTAGTTGTTGTCGTAGTCGTAGTAGTAGCGGCAATACGTATGGTAGCAGTCGTGGTCATCATAGTAGTGATCGTAGTAGTACTATATATTGTAGTAGTAGCAGCAGTGGTAATAGTAGGACTGATCATAAAGAGTCTTCTATAACCGTGCCACACGTGGGATGATGAGGTTGCTAGCCAACATAAAAAAGATAGCAAGTTGGATTCGCAACTTCCCCCGCAATATTAAAGTTCGGCCTTGCCGCCCCTCTCCCCCGACCAAATGTGCAGTGGCCTGGGATAATAAACTGTCAGTGCCAGGAGGGGGGATGATGTACTATCCTGGGGTAGGGGTTATCCCAAGCCCTCGGTACCCGCCCTCTTCGTCTTCGATCGTACCCCCTTAGGGGTATGTCTATACTTACCACGTGCAATTGGTGCAGTCCCCAGAACATGGGGAGCGGGAGCGGATGGAAGGGGGAGGAAGAAACATGGAGCACGAGAGATTTGCAGGAGGGGGGCTAGGAACAGAGAACACGTGGCAGAACCTGCCGGGCCCATCGGGCGGATAGACTCTAACGGGCGGGTCGGGAAAGCGGGCCCAGGCGGCCAGGTCAAGCAGGCGGGTTGCTGAAGCGTGAGTCCTGCATGGATCTCGAGGGCGTCTCGAGCGACAGCGCGATTTCCAAGTAAATCGTGAGAAAGACTGCCACGAGAGTGCGATTCCTGAGTGTCGAGGGCGCGGCGTCTGAATACATTGCGACGAAATCCCACGCGAAAGCGCTATTGCTGCATACATTGTGCGGACGTCCCGCGCGAGAGAGAGAGAGAGAGAGAGCGATTTTGAAATACATTGTGAGGAAGTGTTGTGTGGGAGCCGCCCTTGTTGCAAACCGGGAGCCAACAAGATACTCTGAGGAGGAAGACTGTCCCTTGTGAAAAACAGGGGCGGGCCCCAGGAGGAGATTCAATTGAACAGCAACACAAGGTGCACCGAGTGGGGGGATCCTCAATAGTGATTCTTTGAGAATGAGAATTGAACAACTACAACAAAAACAAAAACAACATCAGCAAACAACATGTTGAGACTGTTCGCTCTTCTCTGCTCACGCGCCAATATGTATGTGTATCCCAAGCCCTCGGTACCCGCCCTCTTCGTCTTCGATCGTACCCCCTTGAAGAAATATCTTCAGTACCTGCCACGTGCATGTAGTGCAGCCCCTAGAACAAGGGAAGAGAAGACGGGTGGAAGAAGGGGGAGAGAGAAGAATGGAGCACGAGAGAAATTAGCAGTAGGGGGGCAAGGAGCAGAAAACAAGTGCTAGAACCATACGGGCAGATCGGGTGGGCAGATCCATAGCGGGCAGGTCAGGAAGGCGGGCCCAGGCGACCAGGTCGAGCAGGCGGGTTGCTGAAGCGTGGGTCCCGCATGAATCGCGAGAAAGTCTCGCGCGATAGCGCGATTCCCAAGTAAATCGTGGGAAAAACCACAGCGAGAGCGTGTTTCCTGAGAGCCAAGGGCGCATCGATTGAACAAACTGTGAGGAAGTCCCACGCGTGAGGGCGATTCGTATACAAATTGCCTGGAAATCCCCCGCGAAAGCGCGATGTGGGAATACATTGTGGGGAAGTGTCAGGCGGGAGCCGTCGTGTTGTAAACCGGGGGCCAGCAACACAGTTTGAGCCCCGTGACTTTCCCTTGTTCAGAAAAACAAAGTGAAAGCCCCGGGGGAAGCACTTCAATTGAAAAATACACTGGTCACCGGAGGGGGGATTCAACAATACTTTTTCTTCAGTAATGAGAATTCAACAACAACCACAATCATCATCATCATTTTAGGGCTGTTCGCTCCTATCTGCTCGCGTTCCATTTAACACGTATTTCCAAAACCATCGATACCAGCCCTCTTCGTCTTCGATTGTACCCCGCTAGGGGGTATATCTTCCCGACCTGCTACGTGTAGATGACGCACCCCCTTCATACAGGGAAAGGAGTGGAGGAGGGAAGAGATAAGGGGAAGGGAGAAGGATGGAGCACGAGAGACTTGGAACAGCAGCACCAGCGACAGAACCAGACGGGCGGGTCGGGCAGGCGGACCCTAACGGGCAGGTTGGGCGAGAGCCCAGACGGCTGTGTCGAGCGGGCGGTTCCCAGAAGCGTCAATCCAATATGAATCACAAGGGAGTCTCGAGCGATATCGCGCTTCCCAAGCAAATCGCCAGGAAATCCAAAGCGAGAGCGTAATTCCTGAGTCTTGGGGGCACGGCGGCGTCTGATCATATTGCAAGAACGTGCCACGCGAGAGCGCTACTACTGCATACTGAATGACGAAATCCCGCGCGAGAGCGCGATTTTGAAATACATGGTGAGGAAGCATCACGCAAGACACGCTGTTGTTAAACGGGGGGCCAGGGGCGCAATCTGGGGAGGAAGACCATCCCCTTGAAACCAACAGGGTGCGAGCTCCGGGAGGAGCACTATTATCGGACAAAGTGCACCGGGCAGGGGGATCAACGATAATTACTCTTTAGGAAAGGAAACTCAACATCAGCAACACACACATACACGAGTCCTCTCCACCCTCCAGGAGGAGGGAGAGGAGGAAAAGCATGGGACAGGGAAGCAGGAGGAGGGGGACAGGCCTGGATTGGTGGGTTTAAAAGTTTCCGATGGGCGGCGGCAGACACCGCTCGTGCTAGCACAGCGGATTAGACACTCGCCTCGGTCGCCTGGTCTTGCGCTTTGCGCTGCGCGAAGCGCGGTTATCTTCGCGCTCCCGCGCGGCCCCCTGGGGAAGGGCAGCTCACTGATCCAGTCCAGACCGTGAAGCCCGAAGCGCACGTGCCTTCGCGCCCCACGGATGACCCGATGACCTGGTGGGGCCGACGAGTCCGAGATCCCAGCAGGCCCGCCGACCCCTGGACGACCTCCTCGAAGCCCGACCCGACCTGCCTCAACTCTGGACAGACCTGCTCGAACGGTTAAGCCCGGCGGCCACCCAAGACGGAGGCACGGCCTCCCCGGGAGCAAGTGCGCCGCGGGCGCCCGTGGCTGTGGCTGTGGCCGCGCGCCCTCGGTTGGAAACGCCGCGGGGTTCGGGTCGGGCGAAAGGGGGGGATAGCAAAGGGGGGGTTTGAGAATCAGCTCACGTAGCTGATTTTCCCGGCGCCTCCCGGCGCCGGAAGGCGGCCATGTATCGAGGAATGGGCCCCTCGGCGAGGCCGAAACCAGCTGCATGCAGCAAATTTCGTACCCCCCCCTTTCCCAATCCCCCCCTTTCGCCCGACCCGAGGGGTGTCCGCGGCACTTCTGGGTGCTGGTGCCAGAACGTCTGCAGGAAGCCATCGGGGAACTTGACCTCCTCCTCCTCCTGCGGGGCCGCGGGGCGCTGGGCTGCGGGGCACTCGGCCCGCCGTGGGCCCGGCGGCAGCGTGCCGCAGCGACGAGCGAAGACAGCGGGGACGGCAAGGGAGAGGGGGGCCAAGACTCACGACGTCATGATGCCTCCATGACGTCAACCCCCCAACAAAAATCTCGACCCGTTCCCTGGGAGGGAGAGGGGGGCCAAGACTCACGACGTCATGATGCCTTCATGACGTCAACCCCCCAACAAAAATCTCGACCCGTTCCCTGGGGCCGGTTTCTCATCCTGAATCGCTTTGTTGACGGTCCCGAGGCCAGGTCAGGGCCCCCAGGGGCCGACGATTGCGAAAAACCTCCAGTCGTGATTTTGGTCACGACCCGACGGGCCTGGGGGGGGGGAGAGGGAGGAACCGACGGCAACGCCGCAGTGGAAGCTCCCGCGAGACCAATCGGCGCCCCTGCGCTCACGACGACCCGCCCGAGCCGGCTTTCGGTGGACTGGTGGGCACCTTCTTGGCCAGCGGACGCGGACACCGACGGTCCGAGCCGGCGACGCGGCATCAGAAGCGGGGCGCGCGCACGCGAGTGGAAGCCCATGCGGGAGCGAGGCCAGAGGGCAAGAGGGGGCACGCAGGAGCGGGGGCGACCGGCACTCGGCCAAGCCTGCCGGGTCTCGGGTGCCAGGTGCGGGGCGCAGGCGAAGGGTCGAGATGCCCGGCCTCTCCTGCTTTTCTGGGAGCGCCGCAGGGTCCCGCTCCGCCTCCCCGGCCCACGGGGACGAGGGGCAACGCTAGTCGGGGGCGCGCAGGCGTGGACTAGCGATCCATGCATCTGGAGCGCGGTCGCCAAATCAATGGATCCGGGGAGGTGCCCTCCCCAAGATGCGGCCGGTGCCGCCTCGTTCGGCGGCGGACGTGGGCGATTTCCAATGGAACAGGGACCCATCGCTAAGCCACGCCCCCTTGATCCACGTCAGCGGTCGCCTGAGTCAGGGGGGGGACCGGCTCGGGCTGGGGGGGAACATGGAGCTTGAATCGGCAGCCAATAGATTTAAGTCGGGCGTGTCCCCCTACAGGGGGATTTTCGACGACAAATACAAAAATACTCCCCAAATGCCCCAACATGGTCAAAAAATATTCCAAAAATAATCCCCCAGACAATTGTTTGACTATTTTTGAATGTAGAGGGACAGGCCCGACTTAACAATAAGTCGGAGAGGGGCCCTAGGAACGACCTCGAGCGCTCCTGGGCGGGGCGGGCTACGGAGCCCGGAGCGGCGACCATTGGGCGATCGGGGGTCGATGCCTCCCCCCCCCGCTGAGCCCATCCCCCCCTAATGTTATGTTGTTCCTATCGTACTTGAGGACCACATTCCAGAAACAAAATTCCGAGCACCCGGAGAAGTGTCGAAACAGTGTCGAAACGGTGTCGAAACAGTGTTGAAACAGTGTCGAGACAGTGTCTCCCAGGGCCCGACACGTGACCACCCTCGAGTTCCGGTGCTTGTGTGGTGCTCGAAGTTCTTTCTGGTGATTAAGGCTAGAGTAGGTTGGAACATCATGGCCCTAATGGTACGCATGAGGACATGCGAATACGATGTGCCTGTGTTGGAGACGCGCGCCCGACCCGAACATGTGGTGCACCATCTTGTATAAGTACATCGTCTCCAGGCATGGCCAGGAAGCGCCCGCCGCGGAGCTCATACAAGACGGCTTCCGAGCGTGCGCGTCGCCATTACGTTTAGGTCGGGCACGTCCTCCTACAGGCAGCTTCCCGAATCAAAATAGAAAGGCCAAGAAAGAGCTGCCGCTTGCTAATAAGACCACGAAATATCGTCACCACACTGTGCTAAGACTATTCTTGAATGTTCTTCCTGTAGAGGGGCATGCCCGACTTGACGTTGCGTGGCCGACGCACACACCGTATAACTATGTCTGGGCGGTGCCACATAGCGCTGCCCCTGACGTCCACGGGGGGGAGAGACGCCCCTGGAGCGCGCCAGGCCCTGGCGGCGCGCGCAGTGGGGCAGGACGAAACGTATCGAAACAATGCCTGCCCGACACGCTGGCGAAGAGGCCGAGCGAATATGGCCTCCCGGGGCCCGACACGTAAAAAACCGTCCAATTTCGATACTTTCTTGGTGCTCGAAATTCCTTCTGGTGATCAAGGTTGACTTAGGCTGGAACACCATAATCTTAGGAGGAGGCTGTCTCTTACAAGGCCCGCGCTTGCTAAGGAGCAGCTTCCTTCAAAGAAGCCTTCCCCCCTCCCCCTGCCTGCACGGTTTCCCCAGGGGCCGTAGGCGACCCGAGGAGGAGGAGGAGGAGGAGGAGGAGGAGGAGGAGGAGGAGGAGGAGGAGAAGGTGGTGGTGGTGGTGGTGGAGGAGGGGGAGGGGGAGGAGGAGATGGAGCAGATAGAGGAGGAGCAGGAGGAGGAGGAGGAGGAGGAGGAGGAGGAGGAGGAGGAGGACGGGTACGACCGCCATGAGCAGCAGCAGCAGGAGGACGGATCGCCGACGCCCTTCGGCGAAGCCCTCCAGCCCTGCCCCCCTTCTGCGCGTGGCTGCCCTGGGGCGCGTGGGCCGGGGCACGCGAGGCGTCCGCGGGCGTGTGCCCTTCGCCTGGGCTCTGCAGGGAGCCGCCGCGGCGGCGCGGGCGCGGGGCGCTGCCGCGGCGAGGGGCGGGCCGCGGTGGCCTTCGGCTCGCGGCCCTCGGAGCGGGGGCCTCCTGGTGAGCCAGGGCGCAGCCACGCGCGGAGGGGGGGCTTAGGGGGAGGTGTCGGCGGTGGACAGACCTCCCTTCAGTGAACCACCCTGTAGTGTGACCGAACCCGACGGACCTGGATCCGCAAAACTGACGGCCGAGACGCCCTCTCGCGAACCGAAAACGGCCAATTCGCTAATCGACGTGTCAGGGTAGGAGGTCTATCAACCTCCGAAAGGGGGGGGGGGAGGCTTCTCGGAAGCACCCCTGCCCCGCACGAGAGCCACATCGTCAGATCTCCCAGACGTCGGGCCAGCGCCCGAGGAGGCGCTGAGCCCTGCCTCCGCTCCCTCCGTGCGCGCCGCCAGGGGACGCCGACGCGCTCGAGGGAGCTGCAGCCGTGGGTCGAAGCGTTCTCCGTGTTCTGCCACCCTCTGTGATGGGCCTGTCGTCCACCAACACCACCACCAGAAGTTGGAGGGGGAGGGGGTCCTCCTCCACCTCCTCCTCCTCCTCCTTCCCCCATCCAACTTATGGTGGTGGTGGTGGAAAACGGGCCCATCATTCTGCCCCCCTCCCAGGTGGAGTTCTCGATGTCCTGGTCAGCCAGTGTGCTTCAGCTGCCCCGATACGCAGCACGCAGTCCGCTGCCTGCTGACACGGGGCTCCACACGTAGACTGACAACACAGGTCCGGCGCGAGAGGTTCGCCAAGACGAAGACGAACACGTGCCGAGCCAAAACGCAGCGTGCTAACACGGACGTTTTGAGCACGGTACGTGTTGCGTTTCAACACGGGCGTGTATCAGTGCAGCCATATGTGTACGTAGGGCATACTGACGTCTCGGGGCCCGCTGAGATGGCGGTATGACCGCCCTGTGACGGGCACCACCACCCCTTCGGGCCCATGGACCACCGCCACCGCGGCGTCGGGCTGGGGTGCGCAGTCCCGCCGCCAGGGGTGTCGGCGGTACGGGCGCGGCGCCCCTCGGCAGTAACAGCTCTTTTCGCATTGATGTTTACTGTGCGATGGATGTAAGGATTCAGGGAAGCAGGCATGGCTCGATGTGGCATTCACGATGCCACCGCAGCTGAGTGCGTCCGCAGGAGCCACTCTGAAAGCGGTGAACTCCCAACGAAGACTGACGTCACCAGGACACAGGGTCCACAGGGGGCCAGTCGAATGCCTTGCGCCCAGATCCCCCCGTCGAGGCGCAAGGAGCCCCGAACATGGCATCTGCGATCAGATCCGCACTTGGGCCCAAGGCTCCTGCTCCCCCACACGAATGCCTCACCTAACTTCCCGCTTCGTGCCGTCCGCAGAGGACAATGATTGCCTATCTTCGGGCTCTCGCGCGGACCCTCGACCACGCAGCGCGACTCCATCCCGCCCCTGCGAATGGCCCAAAGGAGCTTCGCTCAGAATCCGCACAGAATCCGCTCAAGAATCAATCCGCTTGATCAGTGCTTCCAGCTGCGCCAAGCCCTGACATCAAGGCCCCCCCCCACCACGAGGCCTAGAAAGGGCTCCCTAAAACAAGAAAAGCAGAACCGACCTCTGGCTGCCCCCCCCCCCAGGGCTGCAACAGCGGAGGGCCCCGCTCCTTCGGGCGGCTGAAGATGCTCAGGGTGGCCGCCCGCTCCCTGCTGGCGGTCGTCTCCTCTAGAGGACTCCCAGATGGGGTCCGAGCAAATGGGGTCGGAGGGTCGCGCCGCATCGTCGGTGCGTCACCGATGCATCGGCGACGTCGGCGTGGAGAAAATCGGGCTCCACATCGAGCCGCATCGCCGATGCATCGGCGATGCGGCGCGATCCTCCGACACCAGATCCGCTCGGGGCCCACCCGGGAGGCCCGGATCCTCGCCGATGCCGCGCGGGTGGACGAGGCCCAGGCTCCCCTGCGCTGCCCGCCCGGAGGCGTTCCCGCCGCCGCCCGACACGTTGAGGCCCACCTCGGCTCCCGAGCCCGCAGGGGCGAGGACTGACCGATCGCGGCCACACGCCGCACGGCGCCGCGCGGCCGAGCGGCGAGGCGCCGACGGCGGCGGCGCCCACGGGCCCATCGGGCGGTCAAGGCAGGGCCGATCGTGCGGCCATGGGCGGCGAAGGAGGCCGACCGTGCGGCCGAGACAGGCGGTGGCCGCGCGGCCAACGACCGAGGCGATCGCGGCCACCGCGTGGAGCAGCAGGCAACAGGGCGGGCCACGAACATAGGCACAGCCTCGCAGGCCGTGCTGGCGAGGCGAACCTTGTCCAGGACAACGTGGCCCCTCACCGAGAGCGCGTCCGAAAAGTTGAGCCACTCCGTGTACTTCGGCTGCGCCCCTGGCCGCTTCAGAGTGGTGGACTTGGACTCCTGCGCCGCGGGGGCCTCGACTCGTAAACCAGTCAGCTGGCAGGCTAAGAGACCCGGTTCGGCCTTCGGGTCAGTTCTAGTCTACCGCTCAGCCAGCCTTGGCAAGTCCAGCGCATCTCCGAGTCAAGAGCTACGAAGCCTAGCTCGGGTTCCTCTCCTGATCATCTGCTAGACTGATGTGGACTACGCGAAAGAGTGACCCTGGGTGAAAGTGACCTGTGGTGCGCGGCTTTCGCGTGAACCGCGGGGGGAACTAAACACAAGCGCGCAAGACGCTACCATTGCATCGTGTTCGGCGATCGGGGGGCCCCCTTGGGCCAGCACTAAGGGTCACTCCAGCGATAGATCATTCCCGTGAGATCCGACTGCGCGGAAAAGTTTAGAAATCGCAGGAAATCACGACCCGAGCCCTATACCCCACCTTCCTGCGTCATTTTTCGAAGCGGATCGACCTGTGAGGGTCCCGGGGCCCGAAATTGAGCGAAAACGCCCGGCTCGAACAAAAATGAATCGCCAGGCCCAGGCGTTCCGGAGAAATCCTCCAAAAAAGTGTCAACCACCTCCCTGAGGAAGGTGTTCGGAAGCTTCTTGTCGCAGGAATCCTCCCAAGAACCCTTGGGCGCCGGGCCCTTCCTCTCCCTGCGGCCCTCCACGGTGCGGGCCGCAGGCCCCGCGGGCCCACCGTGGGTCGCCCGAGGGCTGCCAGAGGCCGCCGCGGGCCGTGGGCCGCCGAGGGCCGCCCGAGGGTCGTCAGAGGCTGCCGAGGGCCGCCCGAGGGCTGCCACCGCGGGCCGTGGGTCGCCCGAGGGCTCCCAGAGGCCGCCGAGGGCCGCCGCGGGCCGCCGCGGGAGGCCGCCGAGGGCGGGCGGGGAGCTCCTCGAAACCCGCCGCGGCGCTGCCGTTGGCCTGCGGCACCCACAGCTCCGCGCTGGCCGAGCGGACCAACAACTCCAGCGCCTGGGGCGGCGTGCCGACCTCCACCCGGGCGGAGAAGAGGCCCCTGGTGGACGCGGACTCCAGGAGGGGAACCTCGATGCCGGCGCTGGTGATCGCCACCTCCCACGGGCGGTCTTGGAGGGGTGCCCGGGTCGAGCCCCCGAGGGGGGGGGGGCGTGGTGAGGTCCCCCCGACCACGGCCATAGGTTTGCGACAACCTGTTGTTTTCCAGCGGTTGGGTTGTGGTTTGTTCTGCGACTGCTTGTCCACGACAGCCGGTCGTGGTTGAAACCCTGACGCTGCGAATGGCCATCGCACCCCGGCGCTTCACCCAGAAATTAGCAGTTGTTTTGTGGGGGTGCTTGCCGTTGGGAATAAACAGGCTCGCGACAACCTGATCAGGCTCGAGAGATCCCACGCCCAAGGCACGCTTCCCCGGGCAAGGCAAACTTGGAGGTAGTGTCGCCGCTGAAAAGGACCGTGTGGCCGTTTTTCACTAGGTGATTGAATGTATCACAAACCTCGCAGGATCTAGCTTTGCAAAGCGTGAGCATTGGCACATACATCGCAACCACATCCCGGAAGACACGCTCGCGAAACACAGGATTGACCGTCTTGTTGTGTCAATGCGAAGTGCTGCAAGGTAGTGCATCAGCGCTGGCATGCGCGTGCGTAGCAGTTCCATGGGTGCAAGGGAAGTGGCGGCGCACCCCGTGGTCGTTGGACGAAAAGGGGGCGCCTTGCTCGACTGATATCAAAAAGGATACAGCACTTCGCTGGGATGTCTGGGAACGCAGACGGCTTCCAACTTCAAACCAGGCTCGTCGCTGCAAGCTGACCTTTGCGAATTCGCCGCATCAGAATTACAGGGAAGCGAACTGTCCAGTTTGGCAATGCGCCATTATGCGAAGGCACGATGTGATCACCACCCGGAACAGGAATTAGCATCGATGTTGATGTTCTCGGTTGCGGGCGAATTGCCGGATCCTGCATTGCTGCCGATCTACATCACGTCGCTCCTGATTTCGGGGAACGCGCTGAACAAAGGGTTGCCGACGTCAACCGGATAATCATACCACCAATAAGGTTGTCGCAATGTCATATTATGCAATGACACAAAAAAAAGCGGGGCGCGTGATTCCCTGCTCGGGCAAATCGTTGGGGTGGCGCACGCCGAGTCGAAACACGCGGCGGCGGCGCCGGTGATTAGCGCCGACGCCCGGCCGCCCGCGAGAAGGCGACAGGAGCAGCACGGACTGGGGGAGGGGGGGGGGGCGGGAGGCAAGAGCGGCAGAGGCAAGGACCGCTGGCGCCGCCACCGCCGCGTTATTCTCATGGTTCGCAGTCGGAGGGAACTCCCGCCACCACGATGAAAACGGGCCCAGAAGGAAGCGGGCCCAGGAACCCTTGAGCTCCCATGAAAACCAGCTTGGTCGTTTTTCGGTCGGTTGCCTCCTCCTCCTCCTCCTCCTCTTTCTCCTCCTCCTCCTCCTCCTCCTCCTCCTCCTCCTCCTCCTCCTCCTCCTCCTCCTCTCCACCTCCTCCTCCTTTTCCTCCTACGCCTCCTCCTCATCATCTTCTCCTCCTCCTCCTCCTCCTCCTCCTCCTCCCCGTCCTCCTTCTCCTCCTCCTCCTCCTCCTCCTCCTCCTCCTCCTCCTCCTCCTCCTCCTCCTCCTCCTCCTCCTCCTCCTCTTCGTTCATGCCGTTTGCCATCATCCACGGCCCGGTGGTTCCCCGAGCTCTCCGAGCACTGGCGCGCGTGAAAAAAAGGTTTCCAGCCCCGCGGGGTCTATTCATCAGCCCCGGGGGGGGGCATCACTTGTTAATCAGAAGCTGGCATTAAGATGTGACACGCAGCATGTCCCTGCGCAAACGACAGACCTGGAATCAGGAACAACCAGATACAGGAGCGACGGTCTCGCGGCCCATGGGCGGCCAACCAACCCAGCAGAGGAAGGCACGTGCCAAAGCCTGGCCCCTCAGCAGCACACGCAGCACACTCTGGAGCCCGAGGGCGCCACCGCCCGCTGCGCGCCGGGCCACAGGACGCGGAGCAACGCTCCGAAGACAACGTCTCCGCTCGCCCCGATGCTGTCGGCCGCCCGGCGCCGTCCAGGGCGCGGGCCCGAAGGGGGCGTGCGGACCGGCGCGGAGACGAGGCCGCCGTGCTGCAGGGCTTCTCGGGCCCCAGGCACGGCCCTCCGCGGCCGCTCCTCCTGACCAGACCCCGGCGTGGACATTTGTTCGCAGCGCCGACCCCCAGAGTTACCAGCCTGGAACATATCCCTATCCCTATGCTGGGCATCTCCTCATCACGATGCCAATCTCAGGGATTTCCTTATTTTTTGAGGGCGCATCCCTAAAATTGTCGTCGCCTTTTGGCGTGTCAATCTTAGGGATAGGGATAAGTTCGACGCTGGCAACAGAGGTCTGGACCCCTTCCCCAGGACCGTCTCTGCATCCCGAGTCGTTCTTGGACGGCGCCGGGGCCCAGCAAGGGGCCCCCAGGAGGACAAACCTTGTGAAGAACCTCCCGTCGTGAGTTTGGCCACGGCGCGAAGGGGTCTGAGTTCAGGGGTCCCCTCCCCCTCCCCCACCTTCCCCACCTTCCCCTCCCCCTCCCCTCCCCTCCCCTCCCCCCCCTCCTCCCCTCCCCTCCCCCTCACCTCCCCACCTCCCCCTCCCCTCCCCCCTCCCCCTCCCCCACCTTCCCCCGTCTCCTCTCTCTGGCTCGTGAGATCTGCCGCGACGCGAGGGGCTCGGGGTGCCCAGGGCATCGATATCCCGCCGAGCCTCACGAGGAGGCGAAGGCCCTCGGGCGAGCAAGGCAGCGCCTCGCATGGCCCCGTGGGGTTGCACGGGGCCGGTGCGGAGGGGAGCCCCGCGGGGCTCGGAGCCCAGGCCTCTGGCACGAGGCCTCGCCGAGCTCCGTGGCGCTCCCCTCTCCAGAAGCAAAGACCTCCAAGGCCTCGGGCCTGGTGCCGCTCTGGGGCGTCGCTCTCCGGGCTCGTCCTTGCACTGCGCCCGCTCCACCTTGTTGCCCTTCCTACTGCCATTCGCCTCATCCTCCTCCTCCTCCTCCTCCTCCCATCTTCCTCCTCCTGGTTCCTCCTCCTCCTCCTCCAAACTTCATTTGTCCTCTTTCTTGGCCACATTCACAGTCCTCCTCCTCTTCTTCCTCCTCCTTCTCATCCTCATCCTCATCATCATCATCATCATCATCATCATCATCATCATCATCATCATCATCATCATCATCATCATCATCATCATCATCATCATCAAAATCATCATCATCATCATCATCATCATCATCATCATCATCATCATCATCATCAGCCTCATCCTCATCATCAGCATCATCATCAGCATCATCATCACCATCAGCATCATCAGCATCCTCATAGTCATCATCATCATCATCATCAGCATCATCATCATCATCATCCTGATCATCATCATCACCATCATCATCGTCAACAGCTTCATTATCATGATCATGATCATGATCATCATCATCATCAGCATCGTCAGCATCATCATCGTAGTCATCATAGTCATCATCATCAGCAACATCATCATTACCATTAACATTCATCATCAGCATCATCACCATATTCGTCATCATCAGCATCATCATAGTCATCACCATCAGCAATCATCATCACCACCAATCATCATCATCAGCAACAGCAACAGCATCATCAGCATCATCATCATCATCATCATCATCATCAACATGATCATCATGTCCCTTCACATCCTCATCCTCATCAGCATCAGCATCATCATCACCATCACCACACTCAGCATTCTCATCCTCATCCTCATCCTCATCTTCATCATCAGTATCATCATCATCATCATCATCATCATCATCATCATCATCATCATCATCATCATCATCATCATCCCCATGCCCATCCTCATCCGCATCCTCATCCTCGTCTCCATCCTCATCCTCATGCTCCTCCTCATCCTCATCCTCTCCCTCCTCCTACCCCACTGTGTGTCCCCCAGGTGCCTCTGCCAAGGCGGGACCGGCCACAAACAGGACCTTTGTGGTGCCGAGAAGATCGATGGCGGGGGTTTATCACGGCAGACTATCCCGTATGCAGGCTGAGAAGCACACGAGTTCCGGGTAGAGAGCTTAGAAAGGCCGCAGCCACGATCCATGATCCAAACTGATGATGAGGACGGTTTCAAAGAACAAGGGCGGCAATACTAAGAGGGTCAATCCCAAAGTGGCACTTCGAATGCAGCATCAGTGCATGGGCACAGTCGATAGGACGGTGGGGATCATGATGGTGATGGTGATACTGTTGACACTTGTGACACCACGTCACCCTGATCCGACTCAACTCCCCATCAACCTCCTCCTCATCCTCCTCTTCTCTCTCCTTTAAAAAACGCCTCATCGTCGCATCCCTAGACAAGTCGGTATATACCCTCCTTTAAAACGCCTCATCGTCTCATCACTAGACAAGTCGGTAGATCGGGCTGGGCTTTCCGCCTGAGATCGCCTGAGCCTCCCCTTACCATCCAAGTTATGCCCCTGAAGCTTGCAGTTCTCCACAGGCTACCTATAATGGAAGGAGGGCGGCCTTCCAAATCCTCCGACACTTCGGCGTATGGAAGACGCTGGCTTCGTCGTCGTCGCCAGTCCTAAGGACATGGGAGAAAAAGGACGTCGTAGTGAAGTCGGAGGGAAGGCCCTTCCCTTTCTCCCTTCCCAGTTGAGGGGGACGGTGGAAGGAAAAGCGGGGGAGGTCCTGGGTCAGAATACCGCCTCCTGGGTCCCCGCGGGTCCCGCGGGGGATCGCCAGCATGGGCCCCAGGGGAGGCCCCGCTGTCAGGGTCGGCGGCACCGGCAGGAAGGCCTTCGCAATATGGATCTCGCCTTAGCGCCGCGTACACTCGTCCGAATCACTTGCTACACTCACCAAGACGAAAGACGGGAGGTCTACTCATGTGTCTCTCGCCTTAGCGCCGCGCGCAATCGTCTGAATCGCCCCCGGCACCTCTTGAGATGGAAGGCGGTTCTGTTTCAAACATCTGGCTCTGAGACGTTCCCCATATGTCTGACATGCGTTTGAAAGCGCGCAGGATCTGGACGGAAGGAGGGTGGCCTCTTTGTGAAATCTGGCTATCGCTGAGCATGTCCTCAGAATTCATGACCCACCCCACGTGGCACATCTTACAGATAAAGGACGGCCCGGCTCACATTCAAAGCGGAGCCCTCGCTTGCATGGTAAGCGCATGGGAGCTCGTATGTCACAGGAGCGTGTGTTTTGGAGGAGCAGGAACCGCGGCGCCAGTGTACCACCTGCCTCCCCACCTGGCGACCGCCCCGACGATCCCGCCACCGACTCGGGCGGAGGATCGCGCGCAGGAGCTGGGTTGCGGGTGGGGTACCGCCCCACGGTCAGGCCATAGTCTTTGGGATGCACACGGGACCTGCCCCTCTCATCCGCGTCGGCGACTACATCTTCACCAGAGACGACGCAAGTGACCCGTGAGCTACCTGCTGGTGAACGCAGTCCAACGAGCAGGGGGAGCACCTCCTCCCAGTTGCCAGCCGAGGAATGATCCCAGGGCCAGTTGACGAAGTCCAGCCAGGACGGCATCTTTGCGTCCGCATCGGCGAATTCTGGTCCACGGTATGGGATGGGCCCGGCACTACTCACCTGGCTTGGCCCTCCCTGCAGGGTAAGCCACACGGGGACCCCCGGGGCAAACCTAGAATCCACACGGACGATCGCCGGCACGGCTCGCCCACCGGTCACAGACGTGCCGTACGACGTTGGGACGCCCTGGAGGCCCACCTCCGCGTGTCGAGAGGAGTCCGGATGGACAGGCAGTTGGTCTCAGTGGAACTGGGGCCGCGACAGCCAGTGGGATCCCACGCAAAACTGGGACGAGAGGGACTCAACCAGGAGCGCCTCCGGCTGGAGGGACTGGCGAGCGCCAGGATCGGCTGTACAGGACCCTCAGGTCCAAATCCACCGAAACAATCGTCGACTGGACGTCGACCGGGACACAGTCTGGAGGCAGCAGCAAAGCTGCCAGGGCCAGACAGTTGGCAAAGGGCAGGGAGCAAACCGCACAGCGAGGCGACCTGGCCTGCAGGAAACCAGTCTCGACCGCAGGGGCTCTAAGATGTTGGTGTCCCAATGGGCAGCGGGACGCCCTACGGGCACTCTCGTCGCCTCAACACCTACGGCGACGCGTGGTCGCCCAAACCAGGTGACCCGCGTTCATTCCCCACCATTCTGCGCACCAGTTAGGTGCTCCCGTCGACGTGGCTACGTTGATGACCGCCGTGCGCCTTCCAACCCAAGAGATTCCCGCCCTTTTCTTCCACCAGTCTGCTTACCAATTCGGTGCTTCTCGTGTTACCTGGTTCCGCCGCCGGCGGTCGCACTGCACCTCCCGACCCAGGAGGACACCGCCCCTTGCTCTTCCACCCGTCCGTGCACCAGTTAGGTGCTCTCCCATTGCCTACCCGCGCACCAGTTCGGTGTTTTCCCCGCCGCGCCCCTCTCATAGGCGCGCCCGCCGCTCGGGCCCCTGCGCGCCGTCCAACCCAGGCGGTGCGTGGCGGCGCCTGGCCGGCCCCTCCCTTTGCTGCTCGGCCCCTGGTCCCTGCGGCCCCCCGCCCCACGATGCGCCATTTTCCCAGGTGGCGTGCCGCCTCTGGCACGTTCGCCCCCCACCTTTGGCTCTGCCCCTCCGCGGCAGTCGCCACACTCTGCCCCCCACCCCTCGCGCGAGCCGCGAGCTGGGCCGTCCTGGCTGGTGTTTGCTCCCGCATCCCCCCCCATTCTTAAAAAAGGGGTTTCGCCCCTGCCTGAAGCTTGTGTTGCCCCATTTGGGGTCTCCGCCGTTGCGGCTCACCTCCCGCTTTTGACCCCCCGCCCCAGACCCTACCCGTGCTACCTGGCACGCGGCACGGCCTCTTCCGGCGTGCGGGATGCCACCATCGTCCCCTGCCCCCTGGTGGCCGCCTTCCTCGGCGCCCCTTCGGACGGCCCCCGACGAGCCCGTCCAGCTCTTTCCCCTCGTAGGAGCCCCGCCCGTGCGTCACTTGCACTTGGCACCGCCTGCTCCCAAGCTGTGATGCCATGCGCTGGCTTCGGGATGGCGTTCGTTTATCCACCACTTGCCCCTGCCCCAGTTCTGTGCCCCTGCGGTTTGCTGCCGGCCGCCCAGCGGCCCCGCCGCTGGCCCGCCCGCTGCTCTCCGTCTGGGGCCGCTCTCGCAGCTGCTGCAACGCTGGACGCACCGCGCCCCTGGCCCCCGCGCCGCTGCCTCTCCCCCGCCTGGTGCCCGGACTCTCTGGCCGCCCGCTGCTCCCCCTCCCCTGTTTGCTGCGCTTCGCCCGCACTGCGGCTGCTGGCCCACCCCTGGGTGCATCGTGATGCCGCCCCGCGACGGCTGCCAGGGGCTGCCCTCCAGCCCGGCCGCCCCCGCCCGCTCGCCGCAGCCCTGCCGCGTGAGTGTCCCCCGCGCCCGGTCCGCCCTCCCGCGGCCGTCTCCCTCGCCTCTTCCCTCCCTCCTGCATGCTGGTCAGTTCGCGATTCGGTGCCCCAGTCTCGCCCGGACGCGCGTGCGGACTGCCTCTGACGCGCTGCGACGTAAAACATGCGATGGGGGGGCTCATGGCAGAGGATAGTGTTACAAAGGGCTGATACTGACAGCACCTGGGACCTGAGGGTATTTACAGCATCGCGGATACACCTTGGGGGAGTATGATCTTTCTTCGTGACTTCAGGCAAACATGAATGAGGCAGGGCCTGCTGCATTATGCGATGATACACAAGAAACGCCGACTAAGGCGAAACAACAAACACAGAAGGACGCGGACGGGTGCAGAGACGGCTATGCAAAGAGAAAAGGCAAAGAGCAGTTGCCCTCAAGGGCGATAGTCCTATCCTCCTCCTCATCCCCCTCTCCTTCCACTCCTCCTCCTCCTCCTCCTCCTCCTCCTTCTCCTCCTCCTCCCCCTCCTCCTCCTCCTCCTCCTCCTCGGGAGCAGGGAGGAGGACAGCAATTAGCACAATATTGGGCAGGCAGCACGAGGAGGAGCAGGAGAGGAAAGAGAGAGAGAGAGGAGAGATATGGAGAGAGAGAGAGAGAGAACAAAAAAAAGAGAGAGAGAGAGAGAGAAAGAGAAAGAGAGAGAGAAAGAGAAAGAAAGAAAAGAGAGAGAGAGAGAGGACGAGCCAAGCAAGTAACGCGAGGATGGCACAGGAGGAGGAGCAGGGAAGAAGAGGAAGCCGGAGCGGAGGGAGAGGACAAGAGCGAGCCGCTATGGGGCGCGAAATCTTGCGTCAAACTCGTGGGCCCCGCGATCGCTATTTGTATTCTGCATTGACCGGGACGGCGTGGGTGCCGTCATATCGCCTGCTTTGCGCAAAGCCACCATCGCTGTCAACGAAGGATATACAACATGCATTTCGCGGCTAAATCTGGATTATGCGCGGCCACCCCGCGATCACTGTCCGTTGGTGTTTGACAAGGACCGCATTTGTGGTGGCGTGGTGCCTGCTGTGAGCAGGCCTACCAGACACCATGATGGCCTCCCCGCCGCAATTGTGCACTGGTGTTCGACCAGGATGGTGGGGGCCGACGTGTTTCCCGATGTGTGCTGTCACGTGCGCGGGCGCACCTGGCACACTCTGCGCGTGCCCTGGACGTGGCGCAACCAGTGCGGCTGGACCATGCAGCACACATGGCGTACGGGGAGCACGTGGCGCATCTGGCGCGCGAAGTGTGCCTGGCACGCTTGGGCTCCAGGGGTGCCTGGCGCACCTGGAGCGCCTGGCACGCGTGGCGCACCTCGACCCATCGCGCACATGGGGTATGTATTGGTTCTGGGTGGCTGCTCATCCATCAACGGCCGCGAGACAGCTTGCGGGCGGGGTGGCTGTCTTGACCCCTCCCCCCGACCTCCTCTGCATGGACCTGGACAGGAGGGTTCGCGAGGGGTTGGAGCGTCCGAAACGGCCCCGGCGAGAAAGCCCAAATCATTGAGTTCACGAACAGATTTTGGCA